TCAGCACACAGGCTCCCGGGCTGCGAGGTCCGGCCTTTGTGCCCGCCTCTCCCTGCACCGCCCTCCCTCCTGGGGAGTCCTGGGCCTCCCCGAACGTGCAGCAAGGGGAAGCCCACCCTGTCCACACCGGGGAGCCCTGGCCCCGTCCTCAGGGGTCACCAAGGTGCCCCCGACAGGACTGTGCCCTCTTTTCCAGCCCCAGGCCTCCGGCGCGGTGGGCACGAGTGGAGCTCGGCTTGGGTGGAGGTGGGCATCGTGGGCACGCCCTCCACGGCAATGCCAGGCACAGGGAGACACGGGAGCCCCCGGGGCTGCGCACCCACCTGGGTCAGGTCCACGAGTTTGCCCCTGCGCGTGGGTTGTGTCTCCATGGCCCGCAGATCCGCAGTCACCTCCTGGGCTGGGGGCCGAGGGGGCTGCTCAGGGCCCCGAGCAGCTGGGCAGGGGGCCTCCCTCCAGGACCTTGGCCCTCGCACCCCAGGCCCCGCCTACCTGCCTGGCGCCGGTCCCGCAGGAGCTTCATCTGCGCGGCCTTGATGTTCTTCTGCTCCTCCATCACCTGCTCCACCCGCTCCTTCGCAGACCGCTCCTCCTGCAGGCGCCTCTGCGCGCAGCGCTGCATCAGCTCCGCCATCTGCTGGGACAGGGCCCCTCACAGCCCCTGCCAACCCGTGTCCCGGGGCCATCCCAAGCCCGGAGCAGCACAAGGTCTGGAGGGCTGCTGAGGGGGGACAGGGACACAGCCAGGGGCAGAGTGGGAACAGGGACATGGCCAGGGGCTGAGAGGGGACACAGCCAGGGCTGAGAGAGGATGCAGGGAGAAATGACCCAGGGCCAGCTGCGAGCCCATGACCACAGGCGCTCAGCCCACTGCCGGCAGAGCCCAGGGTCCTGGGTGGCGGCCAGGCCAGCACCCTCACCTCCTCCTTCTTCTGGGCCGCCCTGCGCTGGTTCTGCTGCAGCAGCTGCTGCCGGGCCAGCGCGGCCTCCTCGCGGCTGAGCTGCCCCCGCAGCCGCCGGCACGCGCCCGCCGCCCGCTGCTCCTCCAGGTCCTTCGCCTGCATCTTCTGCTGCCACTCGAGGAACTCGGAGAAGTCCCCGGCCCCGTCCATGAGCCTGTCCACCCTGCCCAGGAGAGGCGGCTCAGGGTCCTCGCAGCTGGGGCCCGCGCCGGCCACAGGGCGGCCGCGGGTTCCCGTGGACACCGGCCCTCGCAGCGTGGGCTGCTCTGCACCCAGCAGCCCCGCCACCTGGACACCACCCTCCACCCACATCTTCCCACCCCCCTCCATCTCCTCTCTACTCACCTGTCTGTCCGGCACCATCCCTCTGTCCACCTGTCTGTCTCTCACCCACACTCCCACCCACAGCCCCGCTTCTGGGGCAAGAACAGGGGCTGCGGCTGGTGGGTCAGGGGAGGGGCTCCCGGAAGGGGCCGGGGAGGCAGCGACCCTGAGGCCGGTCCACCCAGAGCGGC